TAATGATTGAAATTGCTTCGTGACATCTTGACACCCACTTGTTAATTGGAAGTACGATCATTATTCTTGTTGTCATATCCATCTAGCGAACTCTAGGGGAGTTTCAGGCGATAGAGATAGGGCATGTCACTCTAGTTCTAACTTTATAAATAAATAAAATCCACCCAGACGCTCCTTACTTCTCCTACCTTTCCCAGGAACACCGCCGGTTCATGCTGCTTTGGAAATCGATTACTCCAGTCTTAGCTGACAGTTATAACTCCCACCACCCAGATGCATCAGCCAGCTGGGAGACCCAGCGAGAGATCCAGTCCACACAATCTTTATTAGCATCCACATCCACCTACATGGTACGCCTACAAGCCTCTATATAATCTGAAGTACCAATCGTTTTCTTTGTAGAGAGATATAGAATTTGAACATTTCATTCTTAATAAATTTTATAACTTTGCAATATAATGCTCGGTGTTCATCTCTTAAAACGGTAGAAAATGGGTTGGTTTGAAAAACGAGCACTTTTATCTCCAGAGTAACTTTTAGTTTTCTACTCTAGGCACGCAGAGGACGGGAAATAAGTGGGTCTAGGCTGAATTTTTATATGTCCTAATTTCTACGGCGGGAAACATAACATTGTTGACAACTCACTTGGAGTTAGGATGACCTATCGTAAACAGCCACATCACCTTCAATACTCCCTTCTTAAAGCACTATCTTTGCTGAGACAATGAGCGCTCTGATGACTCGACTCTCTTTTCCTGGAACAGCTGGTGATCGCTGATGCTGTGGGATCGATAATTTTGCTTTGTGAATGCGGAAAATAAAGCATTGGACAAAACGTTCTTTTCTCTTTAATTTCCTATTTCGTCGTCGAACACTTTAACCATTCTGTCTCTAGTGCTCCATTTAAATCAGGTTTGATGATATTGAAGTGAATATTAATCGCTCCTAACTTCTACGTGTTTGTATTCTATACTAGTTGAAGTTCTGTTATAGACCTCCCCCCCCCTTAGTCCTTAATTCCATCACATCCACTGTAAAAATCTTTATTAAATTCCCTTTGTTCAAAGGCCTTTTGAAGTAAATGCAAGGTAGCAGTTTCCACAAATACCAAATCTCAGAGTTTTGCATCTTCCATTCGCGAAGTGCAACTCCAGCAAATAGAACATTTACTTCTTGAAATATATGTTGCAGTTTCCGCTCAGACAGATTCTAATTAATTTTGCGCCTTTAAAAGTCATTTTAAAAAATCTTGTTTAATTTCAAGTCGCATAGGATATATATAATATTGCAGAAATGTTTCCCTTTCTTCATCAGGCATATCATTTGCATGTTGGCCATTTTCCTTTTATTTCAAATTAAAAATAAACTAAAGGATATTTATGTACGCTTTAATTTAATTTGTGAAAAATTTATATTATTTTGAATACTTAAAGCTTACTTGCACTTATGACAAAGGGTAAAAATAATGCCTGCCTTATACATCTCGATATCACTGATTTGATGTCTTAGAGAAATCGATTAATATTCACTCACGTATTCATAAAACTGATTTACGGAATTTCATATTGATCAATAGAGGCTTTGGTGGTAGTAGTTCATGATCATTAGGCGAAGTATCTCAAGGCCCTCCAACCAAAATTAAAACAAATTTCTTGGATAAATGGGAAAAAATATATCTTGTAGCTTGAATAGCGATAGATTTACCTTCATGTGGGGCACCCTGGGCAACGTATTCTCATACGACAAAAAATTCTATAAACCGGCAGTTGACTTCTAACTCCAAATTGTCATGACCCCACTGTAAGTCATATTCGACCACTTCCACCGTACTAATCTTACCTTTCCTCTGCCTTTGTGTCTGTCTATTTAACATCTTTGAATCACTCCTCTGTTCCCCCCTCTCCACTTTTTCCCACTTTGATGTTCCTCTCATCTGTGAAGCCCGAAGTCAGCTAAGAAGCAAATGATAAGTGTCATAAAGCCCGCCATTTAAAATAAATAAATATTTAGTAGATCATTGAATAAAGGTAAAAAAGGAGAAAAAATATGTGATAGGCTTCAAAAACAAACTCAATATTATTTTACAGCTTAGATAATTTAAAATTTTACATAATTAGCCATAAAATGTAAAAAAATGGAAATATGTTTCGCTAAAGGAGAATATTTGAAAATAAGAAATATCCAATTATTCCAATAAAGGATGAACTTGAGAGGTGACAAAGAAATGTCAATATTGTCGCAGACACTTCGACTGCACAGATAACCCTCTACCTAGGGGTGTGCGATAGACTTACCTCCACGTGGTGCACCCTGGGCAACGTATACTCATACGCCAAAAAAGTCAATTAACCGGCAGTTGACTTCTGACTTCAAACTACCATCACCCCCACTGTATGCCATATTTCAACACTTTCACAGTACTCACCTTTACTTTTTCTCTACCTTTGTGTCTGTCTATCTCTTTTGCATCTGTGAATCGTTCTTCTTTTTCCCACCCCTCGACTTTCTTCTACTTTGATTAACCTTCCCTCTGTGACGCCCGAAGTCAGCTAAATGGCTAATGATATCTATCAAAACGCCTGCCATTTGAAATAAACAAATAAATCCCCTACCTCAATTCTCCTGGTACCTGTGCCATTGATTGGTGCAAGCATATTTGAAGACAAAATTTGATAAACCTCCTATTCACTTCAACGTTCTTTTTTGATTGTGTAGGCTTTAGGCATCAGATGGCCTCAGATGACATTTCGAGGCATAAAGCAGTATTGATAACATCAGAGCGAAGTGATTTATAGGTGGTGGCTAAAGTAAAATAAGATTTAACTCTACGTCCTTTGACTATCATACCATAATCTTGAAATCCTTTGCCTGGTTTTGCGGTTGCAAAATGGGATTTACGTGATCTAAATATTGCTTTTAAACGAAGATTTTGTACCCTTTCCATTGGCTCTGTTTCTAGTAAACAGATGGAAATATCATGGGAATATTTATTTATTTATTTCAAATGGCAGGCGTTTTGATGGGTAACATTAACCCTTTAGCTGAATTCGGGCTTCACAGAGAGGAGGAGAAACACCAAAGTGACAAAAAGTCGAGAGGGAGACAGAATAATGATTCACAGATATAAAAAGACTGACAGCCAGACACAAAGGTAGAAAAAAGGTGAGGTGAGTACCGCGAAAGTAGTTGAATATGACATAGAGTGGGGTGATTGTAGTTTGAAGTGAGAAGTCAACTGCCAGTTAATAGAATTTTTGCCGTATGAGTATACGTTGCCCAGGGTACACCACGTGGAGGTAGGTCTATCGCACACCCCATCATGGAAATATCAAACTCACATTAAGATATAGTTATGCAATTCGTAGAACACAGTGGAGCTTGCCTTGCTACAACCATTTCAATGTTTTATTTAAATTTGGAAAAATATCAAAAGTCCTTACTGGTTTTGTTCCCCAAGTACAATGAAAAATTGTTCCTATTTGTCAATAAGTATTTAATTGAGTCCAAAAATTAGCATAGTCTAAACCTGGATAGCTTGGGTTTCAAAAAGACTACAAATCACCAACTTTGCACCAGTCATAATAGAATTGCACAGGACATGAAAGTTCACCATTCGGTCTAATAATTTCAATATCCGTGATGCCTAATCAAACAATGTTTTCTTTTTACCTTTCATTATATGGAATAGTTCGCCACATCGAGTATCTATACAGACGATTTCCCCACTATACAAATAGTTTGCGGTGCTGGAGGTTGGCGCCTAAAATCTTACTTCCACTAATGAAGCACTTTCAATTCACTGATTATTTTCGTTTTCGAAAAAAAAATGTTCGATGCTGCTGTTCATTTAAGCATTATCCCCACTTTTAAAGGTTGTAACGCTAATTTTGTTTAAGCAAAGGTCAACTACATCTTTCCCTACGCAAATATGTAACATATGGAATTTGTGTTGACCACATGCACAAAATAAATTTCAGTGTTGTGTTAAATATACAAATCTTGTGACTATGGTTACTAACCGCAATGCAAGTGTCCAAATACCAGATCTTACTGAAGGAGAAAAGGAAGACCTTGGAAATCGGTCGTGCATGCACTGCTTCAAGTTCGATTGAATAAATATAGCCTTAAGGAAAGTTCGTTTGTTAAAATCTTTATTTCAGTCCGGTATTTAAGTTATATTTGTCTTGAAGATGGTAAAAAATACATTTTGCTGGATTGTACTATAATAACGAATCGAAAACCAACAGCTTAATGTCTCTACTGAATTATCGATTTCTTAACTTCTATGCTTACATCCGGATATTTAAGACCAACAAGGATCATTAACAGGCCAGATTGACATGCATTTGCCGCGTAACGCATTTCATATATGCGAGAGTTTACTAATAAGAGAATTGTCATTTGAGTCACGGTTTAGTTGCAAACATAGAGAAAAAAACCATTATTATGAGCAACTAAATATTAAAATTTTCAACGAAATCATAACAAAAGACGATAAAGATGAGCTCTATGCTATATTACATTGAATAAAATAAATGAAAATGGCCAGCCTCACCAATTGATCGCGCAGTCGATCAATAGCCGAAGATCGTTGATAAGGGGTCTGGAGCCAAAGAGCTTATTACAACTTTGTTTTTTGTGATGTAAGTTAGTTGAATGATATCCGTAAGCATTTGTGATTTATCTTAAATTATGCCGAAAAAGGCTTTGGATATTTATACTTAAAAAGCTGGAATATGTGCGAAACTACTGTTATGTTAAGAGTTAACCTCATCTTAAATATGACTAAAGCAGCTGTTTGCACTCCATTTTTTTAATAAGAAATGGAGAAGTGCTGTTGTAAAAAGGGATTTCAGTCGTCCAGTTGTGATTGGTCAAGACAATCAACGCGGTCTGCATGTGCGCACGTACAACCAGGCGCGCTTTTGGCTATTCATATAAAAGGTTTCTTATGATAGACACAACAGACCACGTTTTTGCTCTTATTGACAGCTTTTACAATGAGTCTTCCACAAGATGTCTTCAGTCAATCATCTCTAGTTCCCATTGCCAAAATTGCTAGTGCTTCAACTAGGCTCCAACGCATTATTTGGGTCATTATATCCACCGCTATGTTCATTGGACTTTGCAGTTGTATCACCTTGGTTATAATCCAATACTGCATGCATCAAACGGTTTTCCAACTGGACTATTCTGGTAGACTAACGGTGTATGATCAGATTCCTGGAATCACAATATGTCCCGAAGCAGAAGAAATTAAAAGAATCTTGAACCATGCGGCCAGAGAGCTGGGTTGGACGCGAATGAACGGAAAGAGCCAACAAGAAAAGACCCCATGGCTTCTTCCTCACATTAACAAGGAATTATTGAAAATGATTCAGTCAACGGAAGGCTTAGATCCACCTGGAGCTATTGCTCATTTCCTCCCAGTGGGGAATCTCTACTGGGACACGCATAAGGTCGCAAAATCACCCATCTATCGGGCTCTTCATAACTACACTGTAACATTTCGGATCAAGCCTGCCAATATTGCCAATAACTATCGGCTTTTTGTGCTTGAACAAGTGAGTTCTAATCTCATTTCAAGTAAATCATGTAAGCAATCTCTCACCTATTGGGGGAAATTAAATACTCCCCTCCCAGTTCGCCAATTTGGAATTTACCAGAATTTATTTAATTTTCACGGATTAATGAGAAAATTATTGACATAAGTTTTTGAGAGTGGGAAATAAAATATCTGTTTTGTACAATGATTAACTTTATGATGACCGAAACTATCGTATTCTTATTAAAATCATAGTTTATCTTTTTGAAATTTCGGACATTGACAAAGAACTTGGTTGTAAATTTAATTTATTAAAAATGCCAATCAATCTTCGGTATTTTTAATAATTTTGACTTGCTATGTTTACCAATATTGCAAACATAATTGTTAATGGAATTGCACCAAATTTTAAACAAGCTCTATTTTACTTTAATGTTAATCAAAAAAGAAGTGGAATTTCAATTTATTTTCAAATTAAAATATTATTATATTAGTTTAAAATTTTAATTATAGATGGAAAAATTGTTCTTCGATTGAATTCCGGTTCCACAAATATTTCACTTATTAAATTTAGTAATTTTTTATTAAATTATGATCTAATTCGAGATTTTATTGAAGATTGTTAGCTTGATAAAGACGCGCATTAAACTCGAACCAGTGCATTAACATTTTTATTATGAAACGAACAACCGCTCTTAAGATATTGAGATATTATCGTACTGCGTAGTAACTGTTGCGATTGCAATTCCTAATGCAATCAAAGGTTGGATGGTACAACAGACTTTCCAAAAGTTTCATTTGTATAATATATCGTTTTAAGTAAACAATAAGTGAATTAATTTAAACATTGTAGCGGGTTTACGAATATGCAGATATGAAACATATCTTTCCCACAGAAAAGAAAAGATCGTTCTTTCGAACCGAAGAAGCAGAATTGGGAAACTTTTCTGCACTTTAACATACATATTGCTTGGATGTGGATGTTGCATTCAGGGAAAACTTTGCATTTAATTCAATTGCCGTCAATTTTGAACAGAGTGGTTCCCTAATCAATTTCTCCTTCCCACACTTCCTCTATCTGGAAGTTTCCTTGTTTACTGAACTCAGTAGCTTTTTAGAGAAGTCGCAAGGTTTTCTTCGGGTTTTCCTGAATGTGCCGATAAGCTCATTCACAAAATAGGACGCGCCGACAGTTGGTCTACCTTGTCATATCATTCTTGAAAAGCTTGATCATAAACTCTGAAATGATGTGTTTAAAAACGCCAAACCTTATAATCATTTTCAAATCTGCCAATTTCATACTAACACATCCTCTCAAGTCTTGTTGTTAAAATTAAAATGAGTATCGTTAAGACGTCTAAAAATGTTTGAGACACTGTATATTCGATTAGGGTAGAAAATTCTTTCTCTTCGAATCTTTACCCTCAGTCCGATTCCTCAGTAATAGATTTTGTCCATTCACCAGTTATGTCGTCTTGGTGACGGGGTCAAAAAAGCGTTGGTACTTAATTTAAGGCATCAAAAGTCTTCCTTTTCGTCTTCACTTGTTCATGTCTTCCTACAGAGTATAATTCACTGTTCAAAGTTGTCAAATGTTTATATATATATATATATATATATATATGGGCAAGATTATATTCAAAACATTGTAAGGCTTATTTGCTTGTGGTTGGTCACGCCACCGAAATTTATTTTTATCTTGATAAAGAGCGGCTTGGTGAGACAAGAAATGTTTTTTGCTTATCTCTGCTTCCCCTAAAATTCATTTTAGACGTGCTCAAGCAATAAATAAAAATTTAATAATACTACTAAAGTTATTGAAACGAAAAGTCATATTTAAATGGCCCCCTAATTAGATGTTATACGAAAAAAGAGATTTACGATTACTCTAGAAGTTTATGTGTGGGTTGCGCAGTATTTGTAAAATTGTTATAGAATTCGAATTTCTCAATCGTTCCACGGTTAGCAGCAAATGCTTGTTTTTGCTATTCTGTCCTCGGTGACGAGTAGTATTTGCCGAGTAGTTGCTGGTGTCGCTGCTTCATTATAGTGACTAACAGGAAGATAGAAAACTGCCAACTTCGAATAGTGGGAAGGTAACTGAAACTGCTAACCTTTTTTACGCCCGTTAGGACAGTACGTTCCTCTCTCAAAATATCCTCCATTGGTATTAGACTTGTAACAGAAGGCTCTATTACCGTTCGAAACAAGTTGAATACGTCTATTTATTTATTTATTTATTTCAAATGGCAGGTATTTCGATATTTATCATTAGCCCTTTAGCTGACTTCAGGCTTCACAGAAGGGAGGAACATTAAAGTGAGAAAAATTAGACAGTGGAATAGATGTAAAAGAGACAGACAGGCACGAAGGCAGAGAAAAGGCTAGATGAATACTATGGAAGGGGTCGAATATGACATACAGTGGGGTCAT